GAATATAGGAAGTACCATAGGACTGCCAAAAATCATCTGTCTTGGAAGAAGTATAGCAAAGCAAAACTAAGTACAGCCAGAATGTTCCTTAGAAGCAAGGATGGTGAGACTTGGTCTCAAGTACTTTGAACATGTTATCAGGAGAGACCCGTCCCTGGAGAAGGACATCATGCTTGGTAGAGGGATAACAAAAATGAGGAAAATTCTGGGCCAGATGAATTGGCATGGTGGCTGCAGCAATGGGCTCAAACATAAAGACAATTGTGAGGAGTGGGGCAGGATAAGATGATGTTCTGTCTGTTGTACACAGGGTCACTATGAGCCAGAACCACCTTGATGGCACCTCACAACATGAGCGGTCAGTCTGTTGTAAACTGACGGTGGCACACAACACCCTCACTCAGATCACAGCGTTTATATAATCCGTTGTAAGGGAATTTCTCCGGAGGTGTGCCCTGCTCCCAATATAAGTGGATCCTGTAGAAAAGCTTGCTTGCTTTTTGCTGACTCGGGAGTCTGCATCTGGCTCACCCACCCCCGGTTCTTTGGACTTGAGCCAACAGTTTGCTACATTGCCTGTCAATCCTGAGAGTTGTTAGTGACCAGTAATCTGATCTGCCGACCCTGGATTAATTTATCTCCGAAGCCACCAGCCTGTCATGTCCTGGTAGGTGAGCCCGGAGAAACCTCCAGCCTGATACCTAACTCATGGGACCTGCCTGGGCTTGGACTTGCTTGCGTCTACACCTGTGTGAGCCATTTTCTTGGTATAAATTTTTCTCTCGACACACAGAAGCTTCACAGGCCTATCTAGAGAACCCACCCCCAACACCAAAAAGGGAGTTTCAAGAGATTTATTTTTTTCTCCTTTCCTTGTCTAACGCCATAAAGATATACAGCCGGTCATTGCAAAATTAATCTGGAACTTGAGAACCACATGGTGTTCCTTTTACTTTGCATATTGCCACCAGCAAAAAGAATTCTCAAACATGGGTAATCATGTTATTTTGCTCCAGTGCATAAGCAGGGCAAGACTCTGGCTCACTCTGTCCTCCAGGTGCTGTCCATGGGGGTATGAATGAATCACTCAAGACAAGCCAACTTCCTACCTTTTGGCCAGAAGTCAGTTACCATCCGAGATGAAAAAGTTGTATGGGATCACTCAGGTCTTCTCCTAAATCCAACTGTGAGGGGCTTTAACACACAACCCAAAGGGGCTCCTAGGTACTTGCTGTTTAAAATGCTACTTTCTTTTTTCTTTTAAACATTTCATTAGGGGCTCATACAACTGTTATCGCAATCCATACACACACCAATTGTGTAAAGTGCATTTGTACATCATTCTCAAAACATTTTCTCTCCACTTAAACCCCCGACATTAGGTCATTTTTCCCCTCCCTCCCCGCTCCCCCCTCCCTCAT